AAATGAATAATTGATTGTTTAAACTTAATTTGAATACTTTAACGAGTTTCAAAATATATTTAAAATTGATTTATTTACTTAATAAATTGAGTTTAAACAAATTTCTAGCAAGTTAAATACAAATTAAGTTCGAACTATTTGCTTCATTTATCGCCCCTATACTAATCAATAGGCTTTACAATTTGAAATACGCTATCATATAGTTCGAATGAAATTTTTTCAATAACAATCACTTTGTTTGATTTCAGTTTTTAGAATTTACTTTTAAAAAATTTTACTTTTTTATTTTTCGTATTTTTTTATTTTTACTGAATTTTTTAAAAATATTTTAAGCAATTTTTTATTTTTATTTTTAGACACACCTAACATAAATACACTTACAAAATATAATATTTATGAAAAAAATCTTTAAAAAATTCACTAAATACTAAAAATACAAAAAAAACAAAAACAAAAACAAAAACAAAAATTCAATACATTTTTTGTATTTTTGTGTATGTATTAATTTTTTAAAATATTTTACGATTTAGATACATCTAAGTAAGATGCATTTAAAAAAAAATTGCTTAAAATTTTAAAAATATTCACCCAAAACAAAAAAAAAAATAAAAAATTCAATTTTTAAAAAATTGAAACCAAACACATTGAGTATTTTTGGGCCCTTTGGTCTTCCATGGACCATTTTAAAATTAGGCAAATTAATGAAATAATTAAAATATCTACAAATTCAACTGAAAAAAAACCTTTAAACGGAAATTTTATTTACACGCCACTAATTCTCTTAATACACACCACTATTTAGTACATACACATAATAATTTTTAGAGTTTAGGAAACACACCACATGCTTGTTTGAGCATGTACCACAACCTACACTCAAAGATCTTCATCTTCAGTACACTAGAGATCTATTGTAGGCACTGAAGATTTCTATCGTCGACAGAGGGTTTCATTCAGTCGGTGCATTGTTATCCTTTCAGATTTTCATCGTCATTGTTGTTTTGTTGGTGGCTCACTGGTGCATTATCGTCATTTCAAATCTCCATCGTTGTCGTCGTCATTTCTCCATTGTTTCATCAGTGTATTGTCGACGTTGAAGATCTCCGAAGATTTGCGATTCTCACCCCTTGATTCACACATTTGATTATCACCTTAATATGTTTTTCTTATCTACTTTTGATTTGGTTTCCGATTCAACTTCCATAGTTATTTATATTTTGAGTTTGGCTCAACTCTCGTTGTCTGAATATTATATTATCGTACAAAAAAATAAGATTGAACAAATTGAATATGTTTAAAATATTTATATTCAACAAAATAAATAAGTTTATACTTTATATACTGAACAACTTCAACTCGTTCTGATTTAAATTTTATATGTTATTTCTTTTTTGTAAAATATTGAATACATTTACTCTTTGTAAAAAAGACAAATATATATATATATATATATATACTAAAAATAAATTAAATTATTAAATTTAATTAAATTTGAGAAATGAAATTCTTAAGAGATTAACTTAAAAATATAAATAATTTAAATTCCAGATTAAAAAAGAAATGACAAAAAGGAAAAAATACATAATTAAAATTCAAACATAACATAAAATATAAGTTTTTTTTAAAAAGAGAAATAAATAGCTGCTTTATTTGTTTGGAAATAATAAATTGAACATTAAATATCTGTTCAATTTTTTACGTATGAACATTTAGTATTTGGTCGCCCTTAATAATTTGAACAAAATAATTTGTTTGAATATAAATAGTTGAATATTATGTAGAAATTAAATTATGGTTATTTGAACACGTGAAACAAAGTTATCTTTCCAACGACTATACAAACTAGATAAATCAAAAATCAAAAAGTTACGTAGTAAACTAACATTTTCATTATTGCATTGTTCAAAACCAACAATCTGAATGTCATCTATGTTGTGCAAATATTCAAAATTAATTGATTTTAATAGTCTTAAACTCTAAATTTTCAAAGACAATAATGTTTTGAGTTTAGAAAATAAGTGTAATGGAGAAGAGAATGAAGTGAATTAATTAATAATAAATGAAATCATGAGTTTAGTGTGTTAGATAATAATGATAAAGATGATGGGTATTGGAAGATGATGAACAAGTACAATGTATATATGTCTATAGATAATGGTGTGTAAAGAGTGCTTTGTATTTTTATATATCAATTCTTGAAGAACACACCCCCATATTGTCCTTATTGGCCTTTTCATTTGAAGATATTATTGTAATATAAATTTAATCTATTAATGGTATATAATGAGAGAATTAATGGTGCATAAATAGAATTTCCCAACTTTGAAATTGATCAATCTCATAACCCATAAAATCACCTAATCTAGGCGCATGACTGTTATTTATTAACTAATGCATAGGACATTCGTTAACAAAAATGATAAATATAAATAAATAAATAAAGTCCTTTACTCCACCAATAAAAATAATAGATAATACACAAACAAAAATTTAACAAATTTTTGTCTGGAATAATATGACATGATAATTTTAAAAAGTATAGCCATAATAGTGAGAATTTTAACTTCAAATGAAAAGACAATAATCAGTCACATTAGTCTATCTAGGAAGTGGATGAAAGTTCTATTTGTCTAACATTACTCATAATAACTACATGTGAAACTCACTAGGAATGGCAATAGTGTAATGGGGTGGATATTAATTCTCTATTTCCATTCTCTTATAATAAATTTTTCCCATTACCCATTCCCCATTCTCCATGAGTACCACCCTCTCCATTTCTTAATGGGTATGGATTTTCTCCCACCCACTTTAATCCCTATTTTTATTTTTTATATTTAATGTTAACAACCATTTTTTTTTTAAGGTTCACAACAAAAACTAAATATACCTTTAATCTTTTTTCTTTCTTTTTTAATATATTTAATATTAACATTTTTTTTTTTAAGGTTCACAAGAAAAGTTAAATATAACTTCAATCTTTTTTCTTTTTTTTTTTAATATATTTAATGTTAACAACCTTCTCTTTTTTTTTTCTTTTTTTTTATAAAGGTTTTAGCTAAATATACCTTCAATCTTTTTTCTTTCTTTTTTAATATATTTAATGTTAACAACTTATTTTATTTTATTTTTATTTTGTTTTAAGTTTGACAACAAAAGCTAATTTATTAATGTGTTTATTTTTTAAAAATTCAAATATCGAAAAAGGTCAAAATACGCATGACACCTGCTACTGTAGTCTCTCTCTCTCTCTCTCCTATTCTTTCACCTCTGCCGGCCTCGTTCCACTCATGTTCTCTCTTTCTAATTTTTTATTTTTTATTTAAAAACTAAATTATTGATAAAAGAAAAAAAAAATTGACTGAAACAATTTTAAGACCTCACTTTTTTCTTTCTTTCATTTTTTTCTTTTTTTCTTTTTGTGGAGAATATCAAAAAAATCAAAAGTAAAAAATAATTACAAAATGATGAAGATAAAAGTGATTTATGCATTTAATTATGGCAGTGTTTGGAAATAAAATTTATAGATCACTTTAGCCTCTTCAAGAAAAAAATTCAAAATGTATTGTTGCTGACTTCCCACATGATACACAGCTGTAACGGACAAAGGGTAAAATGACGCTTTTGCCTTTTTAATTTTTGAGAAACTCACAACAACAACGATAATACACATAGGGACATTTTGGTCATTTATTATCTCTACATGAGTCTGAGAAGTGTTGGCTGCATCTGAGCATATGCAATTTATTTTAAAATTATGGCGCATCCAATATGCTTTGACATGGCTCCTATCTAGAGTGTCAGTGTGATTCAATTCTCTACATTAGTAACATGATAACCATGATCGAGATAGTCTATTAGAAAATATGAGGAAGAAGAACTCCGATAAATATGAGGAAGAAGGAATATATTTCTGTTATATTCAAAACTTCTTATCTTACAAGACCAAATGACACTCCTTATATAGGAGATATTACAAACATCATTATAACCCATTATATGCCACTTACATATTATATATAAGCTGTTAAAATTGCTTCACCCCATAAATATTTAGGAACATGCATGTAAAACATTATAGCACGTGCTACTTCAAGTAGATGTTTATTTTTTCGTTCTGCAATGCCATTTTGTTGAGGGGTATCCCGACATGTAGATTGATGAAAAATCCCTTTAGTTTTGGTTGTGAATCTTAAAAATTAAAAAAAAAATGGTTGTGAACCTTAAACCTTAAAAAAAAAAAAAAATTAAAAGAAGAACAAAAGAAAAAAGATTGAATGTATATTTAGTTTTGGTTGTGAATCTTAAAAATTAAAAAAAAAATGGTTGTGAACCTTAAACCTTAAAAAAAAAAAAAAATTAAAAGAAGAACAAAAGAAAAAAGATTGAATGTATATTTAGTTTTGGTTGTGAATCTTAAAAATTAAAAAAAAAATGGTTGTGAACCTTAAAAATAAAAATAAAAAATTAGATGTATATTTGACTTTGGTTGTGGATTTTTTTTTGTTTTTAAAAAAAAAAAAAAAAACATATGGGAAACTTAGTGGGTACCCATCCCCTATGGATATTTAAAGAATATCACTTACCTTACCCAATGGATAAGAAAAAAAGGGGAAACCCATGTATTTGGGTTGGGTCTCTATGGATACACAGGGTAGGTTATCCAATGACATCCCTAAAACTCACAACCTTTTAAATCACTAAAACAAAATAATTATAAAAAAAAAAAAGACCAGTAACCACTAAGATGATGATTATTATTATTATTATTGAGGACAAATAAAACTGCATTTACATATAACCAAAAAGCAGAAGAACAAAAAGTTTCCACACATACAAATAAACAAACAGAAAAAGTAAAAAAAAACCTTCAAAAACTAAAACAAAGAAGAAAATGCATCTTATTAGGAAGTAAGCTTAACCACTAAGATTAACCCAGTGATCAGAGCATGTGCATCATATTAGGAAGTAACAAAATCGACTTTTGACAATGGTCATCATTCAAATAAAGTAGCAACCATTAAAATTATTTTGATGTTGTTAAACTAGTATTGCACTCTACAATAACTCCAAATTACAAGAAGTATCGCATACGAGCTTTCATAATAACAGGATGGTTAATTTGATACATAATTATTATAAATATAGCTCAAGAGTGCAGATAGACATGCTTGCTACCTATAAAAATCTTGAAGTGAATTCACTGCCTCAAGCTCTCAACAATGTAAGAAGCATACAGATCCCTGAAACAAGAAACAACCATGTAAAGATAAATAATGACTAGCGAAGAACTGTCTGATGATTAAAGGTCGGCGCACAAAACAATCCGAATACAAAACATGAAACACTCACATCGAGTACTTGATAGCTTCGACAGCAGCCTCAACTGGCAGGAAGTCATTCACAGCAACAGACTTGTTCTCATTCTTTTTGTCTATCATTCATGAGAAATCAAGGATATACAAGGCAGATAACCCACAAAACAGATCCTAAAATTTGAATTTTCTTTCAAAATTTATTTCTCAGTTTACATGTCTAAATGCTTTCAGAAAAATTTAAATTTGTAGGATGTTTGAATAATTAAAACTGATCGCATTGGATAAATAATGTACACTGGAATGCAAATAATGAAGCTGGACATTAGTCTGCATCAGCATCTTGAATTGACGGGAACGACACCGGAAATGCTGTGAATAAAACTAAAAGATTATGAGTACGAAGAAATAAAGAACTTTTGTGGGTGTTAATGGATACAGTCCTCAAAGAAGCGACGGATCTCAGCAAGGCGGTGTGGAGGAAGGCCCTTGATGTCCTTGTAGTGGCGGAACTCGGGGTCATCAGCACATACTGCTATTATTTTGTCATCCTTTTCACCCTACACATGGATTCATTTACCTATTGAGTAATTATTATTCCAAATGGCATCAAATAAAATTAAAGCAAATGGAATGAAGAATATTAAAGTCAAACTTAGAGAGTTTGTGAAATTCAAAAGATTTGACATCAGAAACTTCATGAAGTAACAGCGAAGATCGGCACCAACTTCACCTAATTCCCTTTTGTATCGTATTGCTCCTTCATCAACTTCATTCATAAACAAAGTGAACATGGTTTTCAAGGTTTTCATGTGAAAGAATTTATAGAAAATAGATAATTGATACTTTATGAAAACCTTAAGAAAGGAAACCTAGTTATCCTATCACTAAAAGTTGAAGTTAGGGCAACACTTCCTTGTACAGAGACAGAATCTTTATCGGGAAAAATCAAGCAACTTTGACCATTTCATTTATGGGATATTGAGGCAATACATGGTATTTGGGCATTCAGGGCTCTGTGATCTAACGGAAAGGTAAAACTTATGCACATTTTATCCTTGCCTGCCCAAGTTTGCAACTCCCAAATATTTATTCAACTAGAAGCGTTGCACTAACGTGTGGAGGAAATCGTTGAAGAAAGTGGAGAGATATAGTCGTGGATAGTGGATAGCAGTTCTTGTTTTAGTGATTTACTTTTTTGATCCTTATGGTAACTGCAAGGCAACATAAATATTTGGGGAAAATATAGTCTTCTTGTGTGCTTTTTGGGAATCAAAGTTGTGCAACAAAATTGTTCATGCCAAGCGAGTTGTTTGCTTTATATAATATTCTAGATTAAGCAACAAAGACACAAAATAAAACAACACAAGAAAAGCCTTTACCTGATCAATCATAGGCATCAATCCAATAGCACGAGCACGAAGGAAAGAACCAGGTAGTACAGGTTCCTAATAAAGACAGAAAATTCAAAAGTTAAGACTGGTAGTTTAGCTCAAACAAGTTGTCCAATGCACATTCCACAGCGGTAAGAACAGATGTACCAAAAAGAAGCTCTACCTGCATCAGTATCAAAACGTCCATAGGATCACTATCCTCACAAAGGGTTCGTGGGATGAAGCCATAGTTATGTGGATAGACAACTGATGAGTACAGCACTCGATCAACCTACGTGCAAAAATTGTATTTGTTAGTTAAAATAATCATTTCCCCTACATTATTTCATTTTCTTTTTTTCTTTGGTTCTGCAACTATCATGTGTGTTTGTTGGGGGTGAGTTGAGATAGACAAACAATTTCAACATGAGATGTCATTATGCTTTTTATATTTTCTCCAATTGCCAATTTAAATGGAAGACCTTAAGCTGAAGATGCAAAGATTATTCTGTAAACTTGCACATTGGATGGGATTGGAAAGAAAAACTGATTACAAGTAACAAATAATAATAATAATTGATATATTTATTCTCAACATACATCGAAAGACTATAGTCGTCCAACAAAGTGAGCATATGCACAGAAATTGTATATGGAACTCATCCACTACAGGATCTATACCATTATAACAGAACATTTACACACACAACTAGGAAAATTGACCGTTTTGTTTCTTTCTGAAACTGAAACAATATCCATCTTTCAATCACATAACCACCATATATATGCATCTATATATGATAGAGCATTGCAAGTATTTCTGAGTCTAAAAAATTAGATACATATTTTCCACTGAATAACATTGTTCTACTTCCTAAAACTTGGCAATAAATTACACTACCTTGTAATTTGAGAGAATGCATTATAACTTCACATTTGATGTAATTTGACAATTGAAGGAAATAGGAAAAGACAAGGAACTTTACTTTGATTAGGCCACTTGTCTTGTCAAGCTCGTACTTAACTTTGCTGCCTTTTCCAATTTCAACAACCTGCCATAGATCTTTGCATAAGGATTTAAGTAGAGTTAAAATTCCAAAGATATATTGTTATAATCTTGATTGACAAATAAGCAATGCTGACTTGGCACCAGCCACCAGGCCATACAATAACAACTCCTAATCCATCCACTGGCAACAATGCATTTAGGTCCCTGGCCATGGGTGACTCAACCTTGTTCCTTCAGTTCCATTTTGTTGCAGTATAATTCTTCCACAATAAAGAGCTAAGAAACAGACACTTGTAAGAAGGTGTGCATCTGTATCCGACGAGTGTCCAACACCAACACTCATCAGACACTTCCGGACATGTATCAAACACACATCCAAATGTGTCATACTATTTTTGCTTTTAGAGGATATAATGATAATAGAAAAACAACATAGATTTATAGCTATTAATCCCTCATCCTTTAAACTTTAGGAATTAGAATTATGTTCTATTTTTTATTTATTTTTAATGAAATATTCATATATATGACATATAATAAATATATGAAACCATATATTTTGTATATGCCTCTCATGTGTCGTATCTTGCACTTTTTTGGTAATCGATTTGTTGGCATGACTGTGCTGTGTCCCTGTCATGCTTAGATAAAGAGCCTCAACAAGGAAGTTAAGGATGACAGAGTCTTGTACAATACTGACATGGCATCCATCATAACCATTGAATGCTACCATAATGCATGCAGGCTCATTGAAGCAAAACATGTACATAAGAGGATCTTTCTAAAGCTCACAGCCAGCAAGATAATAGAAAGCAGAGGATCTTCCTAAAGCTCACAACAAGCAAGATAATAGAAAGCAAACTCACACAGTTGAAAACTGCTGGTGCACCTGGGCCTGCGTGAGTTAAAACAAGAAGCATAAACAAATAAAAGTGTGAGATCGCATACTAAATAGAATAGGCAGCATCGGTGGCAGAGCCAGAAAAATAGTTTAGAAGGGGCACTTGTTAATTAAAATTTTGAATTTTTTTTTCTCATAATCAATAACAATAGAAAATAGTTTTTAAATTAATATTACACACAAAATCTTAAATATTTAATATAATTTTTTAAAAATTTTTGTTTTTACAATTGACCTTATGAAAAGTCAGAATTGAAAATATATGGTGTTACTTGTAACTAGTGTATTATAGGCAATGCAAAAGAATTTTGTATGTCTTATAATAGATTATATAATAATATATAAATAATAGTGATATCACATTATCATTGATATATGATATCACTAATCAATAATAAAATAACGCATGGAAGGTCAATCACACTTGTTAAATATAATTAGCAATTCAATAATTTCTCATTTTCGTAGTGGGGTTAACTATGTTTACATGTAAGTGATGATTTGACATCACTGTTGCACTAAATTTTTTTTAATAATGTGGTTTGTTGTAATCTTTTCATTTTCAATCAAAACAACCACCATTATTTTCATAATTTGAAAAATGTCACTAAGAAATCATTCTAAATGTTATTTCTATATAAATTTTTTATTGGTTAATTATTTTCCTTATATGCAAAAAATAAAAAAAAAAATTGCAGAACCTGAGAGGGTGCACGTGCCCCCCGAGTCCCTTCATAGCTCCGCCACGGGGCATCACGAAGGGGAATTTAAGGGCATGTTTGGTTGTGTGTTCATTTTCTTCATTTTCATTTTTGGTGTTTTCAAAAACAAAAAAATAAAAAGTTTGAAAACACCCATTGTTGTTGTCATTTTCTTCATTTTCATTTTTAGTGTTTTTGGAAACAACAATAAAATTTTTTGAAAACACCCATCATTTTCATTTTTGTGAGAAAATAGTTTCTAAAAATTCAAAAATAACTTTTTTGCATTTCCTAAAAAGTGGGTTATTTTTAAAAAAAAAATCCCAGCAGAAACAAAACCAATTTTTTTGATTTTCTGGAATATGAAAACACAACCAAACAAGCCCTAATGAACTCCATAACATACAGGTGAAATGACTCCACATAAAATAGTATTAATTAAAACTAGATATATACAAATAGAGCAACTCCATATGGAAGAAAGATTGAGATGCTATGTATATTTGACACAAAGATGTTGCAACTGAAATTTATATATCATTGATGCCTAGAGAGTAATAGTAATATGTAAGGAATAGAAGCTGTACCAATTTCTAGGTCATGCCAGGGGTGAGCAGCAACAGATCTTCGGGACATCGATGTGAGAATTCTTTCATTGAGGACAACGGGAGCATGAGGGATTCCTGAACTTTTTTCACTCCCATCTTCAATGTTGTTAGCCATATTAGCCTTCAAAGTTGTGAACTTGCGGCAAAAGATACTATCATACAATAGATGAAATCACGTAAACAGTGTAAATAACTGTCTGATTATAACTGAATTCAACAAATCACAATCTATTTGGAGTGCAAATCACACAATAAAAGCTTGAGTTCCATTTCTTTCAATAAAAACATAGAAAAAGAATCAGAAAAAAGAAAAGTGCTTTGCATATTTAACATAGCTGGATTGCTAAGCCAACAATGGAACAAGTTGCAAAGCTTGAGTCTGATGTTGTTGTCATTGAAATAGCATCTCAAATATAATTTTGTTTTTAATATGTTTGACAAATTTCACTTTACCCCTTTGTGGTTTGGACCATGTGCCTCGACATTCAAAAATAAGCACATAAATCCCTCTGTTTTCTGGACTAAAGTGCTTGACGTTCAAAAATAAGCACATAAATCCCTATGTTTTCTGAACTAAAGTGCACCACTAACTTCCGTTAATGGCACTTGTAAATTGAACTTGATACCTTCATCTTATTCATCTTCTCTCCTATTCTTCACTGCCAGCTAACTAATTCGAATTTCTCATAAATTTTCAAAAACTCACATTAAAGTTTCACATACTTTGTTGAAAATCAACATGATTTCTAAACTTGTAATGAATTAACTTGAGTAATTAAAATTCAATACCTTTAATTGTTATCATTGAATCAGGTAAAAAAAATATATATTCATAATAAAAGTATGAATTGCGCTATTTGTACTTTGGAAGAATTATAAAGGGCAATTTTATCTAAAAAATGGTTCACTCTCAACATTGCACGAGTTGCACTCCAAGTTAGTTTGACTGGAAACTATGACGGTGCACTTTAGCCCAAAATAACCACAAGAGTAATATGCTTATTCTTTTAATGTCAGGAAGTTTATCTATACTTGGCCCACCAAACCACATGGGATAAAGCGAACTTTTCCCAAAAACAAAAAACAAGGGCAAGTGATTTTGCAACATTATGAACAAGAATAGTTTTATAATCTATCCTTTTCTTTCCCGCCAAGGAAGATTCATAACAAAACTTATATCAAACAAAAACTTAAAAAGGAAAAGATCCATAATGAGAAACACATGAAGCTAAACAACTCAAGCAGGCTACCCAATATCTCAACTCAAGAACTATTTGTGCTCAGTGATGCAGGAATGAATTATGCAACACAAGGGAAAATAAGAGAAAATAATATGAATTGCCAATTATAAGAGAAAATAATATAGGGTTAGAACAGAGATAAACCCAACAAATAGTGTGTGGGCAGGCACTCATGTGGATCCAGAACACCACATTGGCGATGTGCCAGTCCACCGCCCAATAACAAAGGGTTGTGTACTTACCTAGCCCCCAATAAATAGGAATAATTTGGGAAAATCACAAAACACCAATGGTCGGGCACCGCCACATATTCCAGAAAGACTAGATAATAACTTAGGGGAGAGAGAAACACATATGTGGTATCGGTCAAATTTAAGCAAAAATGAAACATGTGGGGACATATTTTCACATAGCACAACAGACACCACCCTTGAATTTATGTGTGCGTGGTGCATGCATACACACACTAAAACTAGTAGTATTCACAGCATCTCCAATCCTTTATCAAATTTTTCATTGAATCCAAATTTGATGAAAAATGGCTAAAAGTGTGTGGAGCCATCTATTCTGTCGGTGCTTTGCTGCTGATCACTAAACGGGCAGTGTGATCAGATTTTTACCCACACAAAACATTAGGAGAAAATCAACCACATAGCACAACAGACACCACCCTTGAATTTATGTGTGCGTGGTGCATGCATACACACACTAAAACTAGTAGTATTCACAGCATCTCCAATCCTTTATCAAATTTTTCATTGAATCCAAATTTGATGAAAAATGGCTAAAAGTGTGCTCCAATTATTTCATCAAATTGAGAAGCAATTTTTTCACCAAATCAAGGATGAACCAAAATTTCAAAAGTTATATTTTCACTCAAATTTGATGAGATTTTAAAAAGGGCATTTACATACAAGTTCTAATTTATGAATTTATACTCTATTAAGTCTTAACTAAGATTTTTTTGGACCTTCAAATTTTATTAAATTTTTAATAGTCGGAATTGACCTTCAAATAATGATTGTTCATCATTTTCGATTATCTATAAAGAAACATGATGAGTTGACATTTATTTTGATTTTCAAAACTTTAAAACATAAACTTTCAAATTGAAAAAACTAAAAAAAATTATGTGCAAAAAAAAAAAAAAACTAATCAGTGTGTTTGGTTTCTGTTTTCTGAATTCAGCTTTTTAGAAATTGAATTTTTTATTTTTCGTGTTTTTTTTCGTTTTTAGTGAATATTTTTAAAATTTTAAGTAATTTTTTAACTTTTTAAAATGCACCTTACTTAAATGTAACTAAATAGTAAAATGTTTGTAAAAAAATATTTTAAAAATTAATAAATACACAAAATACGAAAAATGTATTGAATTTTCGTTTTTTTTTTTTTGGGTATTTAATAAAACTTTTAAAGATTTTTTTCACAAATATTATACTTTTGTTTATGTTAGATGTGTCTAAAAATTAAAAAAAATACTTAGAATATTAAAAAAAGTCATTGAAAATACGGTAAATAAAAAAATAAAATTTTTTGAAAAGTGTTTTCTTGAAAAAATTGAAAAAACTAAATTATTTTTTTTGTGTAAAACTGAACAATTTGTGTCTATAAAGAAGCATGATGATGAAACATTGATGTGCATAATTGAAAAAAAAAAACTTTAAAAATGAAAAAAACGATAATGTTCTCAACTTTGTTAGATAATTGAATCAAACCAATAAATAGAAGGACAAAAATATTTAATCTCATGCTTTGTTTTTTCTATCAGTTAGTGAAACAATTATCTAGAACACTACTATGCAAAATTGATAATGTTTTTAATTTTAAAAATTGAAAAAAACTGATAATATTCTCAATTTTGCTAAATAGGACTTATTGGTTCAAAAAAATTTAAATAGAAACTGAGCTACCATAACATTTGTAAATAAGACTTTTAGGTAATTAACTCATTTTAAAAAAGTCAGGATTACAAATAGTTTTATTTCATAAAAAAATGGTTAAAATAGAGTTTTAGAATAAGAATCAGTCTGTTTGGTTTCAGTTTTCTGAATTCAGTTTTTTGAAAATTCAGTTTTTTTGTTTTTCGTATTTGTTTGTTTTTAATTAATATTTTTAAAATTTTAAGTAATTTTTTTTACTTTTTTGGATGTACCTTACTTAGTTGTATTTAAATAGTAAATTATTTGTGAAAAAATATTTTAAAAAATTAATAAATACACAAAAATATGAAAAATGTACTTGATTTTTTTTTTTGTATTTTTGGTATTTAATGAATTATTTTTTTAAAAAAAATCACAAATATTATACTAAAAATTAAAAAAATTACTTAAAATATTAAAAAATTCAATGAAAAAAAAAATACGAAAAATAAAAAATTATAATTTTCTGAAAAATGAATTCTGAAAACTGAAATGGAATCTTTGAAAAAGATTTATTAAAATAAAATATAAAAAGTAAATTTGGAGTGCTACATATCACATTAACAAAAAGATGCTCTAAGAGAACAGGTAACTTCTTTCCTGGAAATTAAAAGAATTTCCAAGTGCAAAAATAGAATAAATCTAGCATTTCAAAAACCATTAGATTGGATGATAAACAACTATTAGTGTATTAAGCATCCACATGACCACCATAAATAAAACTAAAAATAAATAAATTAAACGAAGCTTCGTTTAATAACTCAAACAAAAGCAGAGAACTCTCATACCGATTGAATCTCCAAAAGGGTTTCAGAATCAATTTCCCAAAAGTAGCATAGGATTGAATACAATCCACGACAAGAAAACAAAAATAAAAATCTATGCATAAACAAACATGTATACAAACTATACAGAAGTATCTATTTGAATGCAAACAAATATACTAGAGAGAGAGAGAGAGGATGCGAGAGGGTAGCTTACAGTGAGACACTGCTGCAATGTGAAGCAAAGGCTTGGATGAGTGAGGGAGAGAGAGAGAGCGAGAGAAGATGATGTTGTCACTTTTCGCGCATCGTTTCACCGGTCGGTCTGGCTGTCCAAACGGGTCGTTGGATCGCGGTTCCTTCCGAATTTAATCGGACGGTTATTAAGAATGCCAAGTGTGAGCCACTTATTTTATTAATATTTTTTAAAAGCGATAACTTTTTTTAAGGATACATTACACTTGGTCCAATTATGTCAAGACACTTTCTCACACTCTTTTTTTTTTTTTGGGAAATTATCTACACCTACCTTAAAGTTCAGGCAAATTACAAATTTTTTTTAAAATTTTAAAAATTACATTCCTGTACGGGGAGGAAATAATTCTCCTCGTATGATCCTGTTGACCAAGTTCACGCTCCTCCGTACGACGTCGCTTTATCACCTGAAAACACAAACGTGAGCTAGCCGGCGGGTGTGTGCCGGAAACCTCTCCGATGCCTAAGTCAGTAAGCTTGACAAATAGACAAAGTTTTATGCTCTCAAAAAGAATTATGTTCAATTACCTCCTCTAAGGTGATGCTTGTGGGCTTTTATAAGTTTTCCGTGGCACAATCCTAGTAGGACTTGTACTTCTCCATGCTGAGTCCTCCTAGGATTCATTCTCCTAAGGATAATGCTTATCCTTTTACACCCTCCCCCACTGCTTAAACCAAGTGGGATGGTTTTCTCCATGGCCGAATTACTATTTGACCGAAGTAACATTAGCTATGCCAAGCCACAAAGTGGGCCGTACTAACAGTAGTTTGGTTTTTCTTCATGCTACACCATATCTCGGTTCTCTCATACACGAACCGTGATATGCTTGGACCGATCTACTGAGTAGCTACATTCCGACCGACCTACCCTGAATTCATCATGACCGGACTACCTTTCTTGGGACCGTACTAACTCAAGTTGTCCAAACCGAAGCAGCTTTACGATTCCTTAGCCGAAGTAACTTCATCTCTTTTGACCGTAGTAAATCAACATCTCGGAATAAATCTATCGTTCTTGAACCGAAGTAACTTTAACAGCTTGGGCCGGAGTATCTTTTATCTCTCCTGGGCCGGAATAACCTTGTGGCCTTTTCACCAAGTCCTTGGTGCTTTGGGCCACGAAGCCCACCACATAGCTCGGCCCAATTTTTACCAAAAATTACCCTCTCAATTCCATTCTCAAAATTTATATTTACATAATAATTTAGTCTCTACCATTAATTAAACGTTAAGAATGGTTAATTGACATTATCAAAATATAAATTGATGGATGATATTATCCCTGCTGAAATTTCTTTGATAAATCAACAAAATTTACAAAAAATTACGTTAGATAGGAAAAAGAATTTAAATTTTTGAAATTATGTTTGATTTGTTGTTTAGAAAAAAAAAATCAGAATTTAAAAAAAAAATAAAAACTAATTTAATAAAAATAAATATGAAAAAATATATTTAATTTATAAAAAATATTTCTAACCACTCAAAAGATAAAATTATGTAAGAATAATATTTATTTTTTATTTTTTATTTCTTAACCAAATTAATTTTTAATTTTTTTTAAAGTTTAAAAATAAATTTCTAAAAATCAAACCAAACATATTCTAAGAATTTTTTGAGAAGTCATTTCTTATTTCTTTAAACTTATTTAATTATTTGTTAATTTTATGATATTTTCACCATTTAACACTACAACATATAAGAGTTTTAGAGACCAATTTTTTTGATATCTAAAAGTGAAAATTTTGCTACAAAAGAAATTTAAGATTTCTATCATCGTGAAGATAGTCGTTAAAAGATCACCCTAAAAAGTCAAAAATAAGGCTTTTAGCAATAAAAATTTTAAAATGTCAATAATAAATAGATTTTTAGGGACAAAAAATTTGATACCAAAAAGATAATAATTAATCACTAATGTTCAATTTTTGTTGCTAAAAATATAATAACGACACTTTTCGCAACAAAAATATTTGGTCCCCTAAAAATAATTTTGTTCCTAAATTTTAGTCTCTAAAATCTCAATTTTTTGTAGTGTGATAAGTGCTTTTCTATTTTAATTTTGCATTTCATAACTTATTTAAAAATGCTAATTTAGCTAAACCTCATGGGGGAATCTGTAATTTAGCTAAGAGCATCTCCAACTATACTCTCTAAAATGCCTCCTCAAAGTACACAGAAAACTACCTTCTTTGTTTTGCCTAACAAGTTTAGTTAGTGTACACTCCAACCATACTCTTTATTTTAGTTAACCAATCAAACTAACCTAACTAATTTTTAAAAGAAAACTATTATAAACATTAATAAATAAATAAAGTGCACAACCCTGCCAGCTCCCAAATTCCCAGAATTGGCAAAACCCTTGACGGTAGGAGTCTGGATCTTCTGCCGCTGTTTCCTGCGATTGTTTCTGCGGCGGGTCAAAACGACGTCGTTTTGATCTTCTTCTTCTTCTTCTTTTTTTTGCCCCCTTCAATGCAAGCTGAAACTCCTTCTTCTTTTGTCTTTTTCTTTGGCAGGCCGAAGCTCTTTCTCACGTTGAACTCTATTGCCTTCCCCATCTTCTCCATCCTTTCTGTCACTCTGCTTGCCGTCGCAAACGTCATCTCCTCCTCCATCTTCCTCTCCTCGAACAATGGCGACAAATCGAACCCCTCCGATAATGAAATTATATGAAACACATTCAGTATCTCCTTCTCTTTCTCCTCCTCCGATTCAATCCCTCTCTGATTCACTCATTTGCTTCATGTGTTTGGGGAATTGTTTTGTTGAATTTGAACCAAGTTATGTCCATGAGTTCTAAAGTGTGTGACCTTGAGATTGCCATTTTTGTCTAAGAGGAGTTTCTCGGGCTTCAAATCGCGGTGGTAAATGTCGTGACTGTGACAGAAATCAACAGCGCAAACCAACTGTTTGAAGAAATTCCAAGTTGAGTCTTCTTTCAATCGGCCTTGGGAGACTTTCTCAAAGAGTTCGCCGTCGCAGAGGTACTCCATAGCAAAGTATATTTTGGACTTGGTAGCCATGACTTCGTGGAGCTTTACGACGTTGGGGCGATAAACTTTCTTCATTATCGATATCTCGCGCTTCACTCGATCTATCATTTTGGATTTGATGATTTTGTCTTGGGAGACGATTTTCATGGCGACAGTCTCGCCAAAACCGTCTTCGATGTGTTTGCGGTGGCAGGTGCAATCAATGATCCTGGTGTTGGTTTGAAAAACTGTTAGCATTCCTATGTAGAGGTTGAAATGAATGAAGGAGGTTTGACATCTGTTCCAATTTTGTAGCAATGAGCTTCGACCTGCATTGGAAAACAGAATAAGAAGAAGACAAAAGAAAAAAGAAGGAAAAAAGGAAAAAGAAAAAGAGAGAGGTCAAAACGACGTTGTTTTGACCCGCCACAGAAACAACCGCAGAGGATCCGGACTCTAAGGGCAGTAGTCAAAGTAAACTTGCTAAACTTCATTTTCAACTTCATCATCCCACAAAACATTTTCAAAACATTTTCCTCATTGCCCCATCTGAGCATATCCATCAAGCAACGCATTCCACGACACATCGTTTTGCTTGGGCATGCAAAAGAACACTTTATCTCAATATTCCATCTCACCACATTTCGCATAAAAGGTCAACAAGAGCAGACCCGACATAAATATCTAAGAAAAACCCAAGCTTAATTACCTCTGCATATACCTGTTTCCCAAACTCTAAGTCCAAGCAAATGGAACTAGCTCTCAAGCAAGTTGCTAAGCTAAACTCGTTCGGTCTAATACCCTCATTCCGCATCTCAGAAAACAAATAAATACAATCATTTCCATACCCATCAGCAACAAGCCCAGAAATCATAGCTGTCCAAGACACAACATCCCGCTCAGGCATTTCATCAAGCACCAGACACGCAAAATTAAAAACATGACATTTCGCATAGAAATTAATCAATGAAACCCACAAGTGCATATTTGGGTCTATCCCATTCTTGATGACCTGCCCATGAATTGCTTTTCCTTCATTCAAAGGCACTTTCAAAGCACATACTTCGAGCTTTTCCGAATACTCTTTAAGTCTCTCCATTTTATTTTTTGCATTTCTTTCAAGCTAATCAGGAGTAGACAACGACCTTGTCGGTATTTCCTCAAACCCAATGTGAAGCTGAAATTTTGGGTTTTCGAAATCATCCAAAGCCGAATCAGTAGATAGCTGTTGAGAGAGATCGTTGATGGGAAAGAACGGGAAATGGAGAAAAAGAGAGAAAGAGAAAGAGAGTCACTTGAGTTGGCGGGAACACACTTTGCCTAGCAATAGAGGCTGGCTGCTTGTGGAGAGCCAAAACGAGAATTGGCAAAATGCCTCACCATTTGCTTCATGCGTTGGAGCCCGAAAAATACAGCTTCAAAATGCCTAATTCTCCCCATTTGCCTCATGCGTCTAAACCTCAAAGGGGTGTAGGTAATTTGCCCTTATTTGTCAAAAGAAATTTTAGTTAATTTATGATATCCGTTAACGGCATTAATTGTGATAGGGCGAGATGTAATTTTTGAAACCTTAGGGGAATCTGTAATTTCGTTAAACCTCAAGGAAGGTGTAGGTAATTTGCCTTCTTTTTTTTTTTTTCATCGTCAAAGATAAAATGGCGATATGTTAATAAAGTTAGATTATAAGTTAAAGGGGTCGTTGCTGATCAATCTTCTACTCATCACACTGACACTCGGCTATAAGAGTCTCGGCTCATTTTTCCACTTATTTTTTCTCATTTTGACTGTTTATATTTTAATTTTTTCCAATTTACTTTTAAAAATAATTTTTATTTAAAATTTTAAAAAATACCCTGGTAACTGTCACATAATTTAAAAAATATATATTACAATTTGAGTTTGTGTGAAGGATGTGAGTTCTATATAATAAAATATTTATATGTCATATGACTGCTAATTTTTTTCTTTTTCTTTTTTTCTAATTTTGAACAAAGTTGCCATATGCATTATATTATAAATTGACGTAATTTTATCACAAAATTGTATAACTTCAATTACAAAATGCATAGTCTTACCACAAATTGATATAACAAGAAATGTCGTAACTAAATCACAAACTTTTGTTGTATGAACTACAAATTTTAGACATTTTGTTAGGTGAATTATGACAAGATTAAGCATTTTGTAGTTAATATTACGAATTTTTGCGATAAAATTACACAAATTTATAGTAGAATGCATATGGTATGCACCACCATAGACTTTCCCCATTAAAAATTTAGCATTTAGAATTAAAAAATAAACTTATAACTAGGATTGTGAAAAATACGCATAATCTACTAAAATCGGCTAAATAATTTAATTCGTGATTTAAAATTTATAATTTACTTTCGAAACTGTTCTGTACTACTATAATTAATACATATATATTTTTTTAACTTTTATTAAAATATCAGAGTAAAAATAAATGTAAGATAAATATAAAATATAGAATTTGATGCAAATTAGTGTTATATATAAGTTGAAACCGACCAAACCAAGGTTTGGCTATGGATAAAAAATTTATCAATCTACAATCTACAGTTTGATTTTAATTTGATTCTCAAATCGAACCGAATCACATTGTACACACTCCTTCTTGTAACTTAAAATTTTAACATAATTTTAGGAGCAATTTACAATATTAAACAATGCGAATTGTGATTATCAAATAAATTTATTTTGTTTTATTTAATATAATTAATTTTAAATATATTTATACTTTCATCCATACTATTAATAAATTATTCTAAGAAAAACCCAAGCTTAATTACCTCTGCATATACCTGTTTCCCAAACTCTAAGTCCAAGCAAATGGAACTAGCTCTCAAGCAAGTTGCTAAGCTAAACTCGTTCGGTCTAATACCCTCATTCCGCATCTCAGAAAACAAATAAATACAATCATTTCCATACCCATCAGCAACAAGCCCAAAAATCATAGCTGTCCAAGACACAACTTTTTTTTTATTTTTTTAGATGCACCTTAGTTAGATATATCTAAAAAGTAAAAAATTTATGAAAAAATATTTTAAAAAATTAATAAATATATAGAAATATAATAAAAAATAATATATTTTTTTAATTTTTGGTATTTTGTAAATTTTTAAAAGATTTTTTTTACATTTTTTTTTTACTTTTTAGATGTATTTATGTTAGGTGTGTCTAAAAAGTAAAAAAATTACTTAAATTATTAAAAAAAATTCAGTAAAAACAAAGAAATACAGAAAATAAAAAAGTAGAATTTTCTGAAAAGTATTTTTAAAAAAATGGAACCAAGCAAGCTAATTATGTCACTATGGCCTCGGGATATAGGTTAGGGCTAAAATAATTATATAGCATAAAATAAAGGGATTTTTATTGATAAATCCAATTTAGAAGTGTTTTAACCCAAGAAGTTCATGAAGGAACTTTTTAACCCATTTAGTCTCATGCATGTATAATTTTATTCCATAAAATCTTTTTTTCTTGATTTACACTATTTTCTTGGACACTTATGCCTTTATATTTAATTTTGATACCTTTATAAATATTTTTTGAACGGTTAGCAATTTTATGATGTGAACATTCATATTTTTAAATTTACATTGGTAGGAATGTAAAATTGGTCCGTGGACGGCCCGAACTCCGCCCGCAAGCAGGGGCGGGCCCGGCCCGTTGACAATGTGAATATTCACATTGACATGTTAACTTCACATTAATAGGAGTGTAAAATTGGCCCGCGTCCTATGGCGGCGCGAAACCCGCCGACGGCCCATGGGCGGCGGGCCCGGTCCGGCCCGTTGACAATGTGAATATTCACATTGACATGTTAACATTCACATTGATAAAAGTATAAAATTGGCCTGCGGCCCATGGGCGGCCAAAAGCCCTCCCGCAGCCCGGGACGGGCCCGGCCTGGCCTGTTAACAATGTGAATATTCACATTGACATGCTAACATTCACATTGATAGGAGTGTAAAATTAGCTCACGCCCCGTGGCTGCCCGAAACCTGCCTATGGCCCGTGGGCGGACCGAGGCGGGCCCGGCCCAGCCTGTTAACAATGTGAATATTCACATTAACATGTTTACATTCACATTGATAAGAGTATAAAATTGGCCAGTGGCCCAGGACGGGCCCGACCCGGCTCGTTGACAATGTGAACATTCACATTGACATGTTAACATTCGCATTGATAAGAGTGTAAAATTGGCCCGCAGCCCGTGGGCGGCCCGAAGCCCAACCGCAACCCGTCCCGTGACATTGTGAAAATTCACATTAACATGTTAACATTAACATTGATAGGAGTGTAAAATTTGCCCGTTGCCCGAAGCTTGCCCGCGGCCCGGGATAGGCCCGACCCGGCCTGTTGACAATGTGAATATTCACATTGACATGCTAACATGCACATTGATAGGAATATAGAATTGGCCCACGGCCCGTAGGCTGCCCGAAGCCTGCCCACGGCCCGGGGCAGGCTCGTTTGGGTCCGGGCCTGAGTTGGTGGATCGAGCCTCGGGTCGGGCCGATGGGCCTGGGCCTAGCCTCGGGCTTGGGTCGGGCTTAGGCGGGCCTGACCATTTTTTTTAATTCTTTTTAATTTTTTCTACCAAAATTTTATTATTTTCCAAAAAAAAAACACTAGGCCTCGGCGTGGACAGGGCCTCAGACCGAGCCTTGAATGGGCCTTAACCGGGCCGATGGGCCGGGCCGGGCTTCAAAGTGATGGCCCAGGCCCTAACCTAAGGTCTCGGACTAGGCTCGAGCCCAGGCCCAAACGAGCCTTTCCCGAGCCGCAGGCGGGCTTCGGGCAGCCTACGTTCTTTTTGATTATTCCATTAAGTCCTATTTGAGGTAAGAAGACCAAAATACCATTTTCATCTACTTATATTCTATTTAGTCCACATTATTTTTTTATGTTTCAATAAGTCCTATGGGAGGCATAATTACCAAAATACCCATAATGTGAATGTTCACATCGTCAATATGAATGTTCATATCATCAATACGTAGAGGCCCAGGTCGGCTCATATCGAGCCTCGTGAGTGTCCGAAAAAATCCTGGCCGACCCGGCCCGGCCTATGGGCCAAAAAATTAGGCCCAGGCCCTAGCCCTGGCACAAGGGTATTCGGACTTTAGACAGGCCAATGGATCGAGCTTCGGGTCGGACCGGTGGGCCTGGGCTTAGCCTCGAGCTTAAGTCGGGCTTGGGCGGGCCTGGCCATTTTTTTAAAATTCTTTTTAATTTTTTCTACCAAAATTTTATTATTTTTCACAAAAAAGACATTGCGCCTTGGCGCGGGCTGGGCCTCGAACCGAGCCTTGAATGGGCCTTAAGCGAGTTGATGGGCGGAGCCAGGCCAGGCTTTCAAGTGATGGCCTAGGCCCTAGCCTAGGGTCCCGGACATGCTCGGGCCCGGACCCAAACGAGCCTGCCCCGGGCCATGGGCAGGCTTCGGGCAGCCCACGGGCCACGGGCCAATTCTACATTCCTATCAATGTGCATGTTAACATGTCAATGTGAATATTCACATTATCAACGGGCCGGGCCGGTCCTACCCCGGGCCGCGGGCAAGCTTCGGGCAGCGGGCAAATTTTACACTCCTATCAATGTTAATGTTAACATGTCAATGTGAATATTCAAATTGTCACGGGTTGGGCCAAGCCCGCCTCGGGTTGCGGTCGGGCTTCGGGCCGCCCACGGGCTGCGGACCAATTTTACACTCTTATCAATGTGAATGTTAATATGTCAATGTGAATATTCACATTGTCAACGGGCCGAGTCGGGCCCGCCCTGGGCCGCTGGCCAATTTTATACTCTTATCAATGTGAATGTTAACATGTTAATGTGAACATTCACATTATCAACAGGCTAGGTTGGGCCGGCCCCGCCTCGGACCGCCCACGGGCCGTGGGCGGGTTTCGGTCAGCCACGAGGTGCGGGCTAATTTTACACTCCTGTCAATGTGAATGTTAACATGTCAATGTGAATATTCGTATTGTCAACGGGCCGGGCCGAGCCCGCGGGCCAATTTTGTACTCTTATCAATGTGAATGTTCACATTGTCAACGGGTCGGACCAGGCTCGCCTCGGGCCGCCCATGGGCCGCGGGCGGATTTCGCGCCGCCATGGGACGCGGACCAATTTTACACTCCTATTAATGTAAATGTTAACATGTCAATGTGAATATTCACATTGTCAACGGGCCGGACCCGCCCTGGCCCGACTCGAATTTTACCGGGCACCCACGAGGATTGACATGGGCCAGGCCCCTACACATTGACGACATTCACATTCACATTGACGGTGTGAACATTCACAATAGGGGTATTTTGGTAATTATGTCACTCATAAGACTTATTGAAATATAAGAAAATAATGTGAACTAAATGGAACATAAGTAGATGAAAATGGTATTTTGGTCTTCTTATCTCAAATAGGATCTAATGGAATAGTCAAAAAGAATATGAGTTGGATGGAATAAAGCTCTTAGAAAGTAGATTTATCAAAAAAAACTCCCTAAAATAAATTATTTTAATTAAATAAGATAAAATATCAAATTTATTTCATAATTCTTTTTCTTTCATAAAAATTAAAAAAATTAAAAAATTTATTCCAAACGAGACTTTCATAAAGTAAAAAAATTAAAACAACTAATCCACATTTCAAACAAACTCTATATATTTTTTGAAAAAATATTTTATCACCATAAAAATCTCTTATAAAAGAACATTTTCGTAAAACTACGACCATTAATTTTTTTACTAAATAATACCATTATATCCATCAAATTTATTGAATTCAGGCTGAAATAAATATATATAGTGGATGAAATTTATTGAATTCAGGCTGAAATAAATATGTATAGTGGATGAATCATTAATCTTTTGAGGTGAATTGTAATTTAAAAAAAATTAAAAAATTCGTTCACGACTTGAGAATCACTCCTCGAATCACCAAGAAAAGAAATCACAGAAGAGAGCTAAACGAACACTACCATCTCGACGATCAACACCTGGTACGATTACCTGTAATTCAACTTCCAACCTTTTTATCTTCCAAAATTTCTCATTTCGATTCTTTGATTCAAAACCCTAATTTGCTCACACTCTAATATCATTTCGCCATTTTACCTGAAATCATCATTTCTCCTGAAATCATCATTTCTAATTCTAGGGTTCATTGTCCTTGTTTGTTTAATTGAAGATCTGCATTTCAATCTCTACAGTGGTCACCGAGCAAAGAAAAGGGTACAAATTTTCATTCAACGTCTCTTCTCTTCTTTTGCCATGTTATTACTCTAGTTTTCATCAATTTCCTGCTCTTTCTTGCTATAATACTCTCTTTATATGGAGTGAATTGTGCGACTCTATTTTAATTCTAGGGTTCATTGTACTTTTTAACCTAATTCAAGATCTTCTCTTCTTTTGTTATGTTGTTATTCTAGTTTTCATCATTTTCGTGCTCTTTCTTGCGTTTCTAATGGTGCTTAATAGAGTGAATAGGAGTCTTAACATATATTGTGATTCTGATTCTAGGGTTCATTTTACTTGTTTACTTATTGAAGATCTGCAATCTTTAAGGAGATCGGCGAGCAAAGAAAAGGTACAATTTCTATTTAACATATATTTTCTCTTCTTTTGTTATATTAATGTTTTGTGCTGTAGTTTTCGTTGATTTCCTACTCTTTCTTGCTACAATACTCTATTATCTTTATGTGTTTTGAATGGGGCCTTAATAAGGTGAATTGTGCGAGTCTAACATGGAGGGAATAGGAGATGAAGTTCCGACTGAAGTGCCAATGGCGAAATGGAGAAATGATTTTTGGATAGCATTTCAGCGCTACTTGGATCGTTCCACTCCTCATACGGCCCAAAGGTGGATGGGGACATTGGTGGTGGCTTTGATTTATGTGTTAAGGGTTTATTCTTTGGGAGGCTTCTATGTTGTGTCCTACGGTCTTGGGATTTATGTGCTAAACCTCTTGATTGGGTTTCTGTCACCGAAGATTGACCCTGAGCTTGAAGCTATGGATGGAGCTTCTTTGCCCACGAAAGACTCCGATGAATTCAAGCCCTTCATTCGCCGCCTCCCTGAGTTTCGGTTTTGGTAATAAAGTCTTTCTGGTTTACTTCAATTGCTATGTATGCATGCTTCTTGTTGATTTAAATTTTACTGTTTTAGCGGCTAAGTTTTGTTCCATCTGTTGTCCATAGTGTAGCATTTTTACCATCATAGTTGGAAATATTACTAGAGTGTCTACTGTCTACTCAAATCAAGTGTCAGAATGTAATTGGCTTATGAAAGGAGTTCCTGTCAAATTGTATGGAAAGATGTGTATGCAGTGGTTTCCAGGGATTGTTATTTTTGGTTATACATCCTTTCATACTCTAAAAGGTAGTGATAATTTTTTATATAATTTTGAGTTATTTTTTGGAAAGGTACAAATACCTTTCAATCATGATGTGGTTTTAATGAAAGCGTTGTTGACGCATTCTCAAATGGCATTGCAATTGTTCCCTTAACATTAGAAAGTGATACAACTTACAAGCCCAAGTAGGAACTGAAGATGGTAATATTTTAATTGTTGTAGAATCCTGGCATACTGGAGGAACCATCTTCGACCTGAAGTTGATTATTTTACTAAATTGCTTGTCAATTCTTTTTCTGACATGGGAGATATATCACTCTTCATGTGATGCTTTCTTTATCCTTTCTCTCCCTACCTTTCCATTTCATTTATGTGTATAGCCGACTTGAGTCCTTAAAACAATTGAAGCTATTGGTTTTGTTTTGAGTTAAGGTAGTTGATGTTATGCAGCCCTATTCTCATAAGCATTTGTTCAAGCACATGATGGACACATAGTTACGTTGATTTGTTTCTATCTCCCCAAAAGAAAGAGAACGTAGCAAGAAGATATATATATATATATAGGGAGATTAAAAGCGCAATTTGATTTTTATATTTTATAAGCCTGACAATGTCCGAATAACAAGTAGTTTCTGTGGGTGTTTGGGAAGTGGATTTTTTCGTAGGTTATTTTAGTTGTAGGATATTATTGGAGAAAATTGTTTTTGTATTTGGGAAGATAGTTGGGTTTTTTTGTGGTTGGATGTGATGTTTGTGAGAGAAAAAATGAAATGATTATGGGGTTTGATGTGATATTTTGTTTGGATTTGTTTTTTTTTTAGTTTTTTAACCAATTTGTCTTTAGTGGAAAAAAACAAAAAAAAACTCAAAAAATTTGTTCCCAAACACCGCCTCTATATAAACTAGCTTAAGTCCCAAATTCCATCACTAAAACCTCAAAATATCTAAAAATACAATAATATAATTAAAAAATATTCCCCCAAAAAATCTAGATCTAGTCACTCCATTGACAACTTGATGTGAAACCAACTATTTTGGGGGAAATGTGAAAGTATAGCATGTGCTGCATGTCAAATATCAAGAATTTTTTTATATCCTAGCTGGGAAAATGGACATATTTGTTATAGTATTATAAACTCTGCTTTGGCCTGTGAAGTTTTTGCTTCTATTATGTAAAGCTCATTTTACCAGTTTGGGATATCACATGGTCCATGTGGCATGTCCATCTGAATATGGTGTCTTAGTAATGACTCCACACTAATTGCAATAATTTTGTTTGGGAGATCAGTTCAATATGATGGGCACCTCTCAAATCACCCAAAGCTTTGCATTGCCTTCTATAACTTCCATTCAGATTGATAAATGGGATATAACTATTGCTTATGTATCTGAAACTCATTTAGACAGTGTGAACCTTACCAATTTGCCGAGTTAGACCAGATAAATACATCTTCCTGTTTCACTTTTTCAGGTATTCCATCACTAAGGCTTTTGTAGTGTCATTTATTTTGACCTTTTTCTCTGTGCTGGATGTACCTGTTTTCTGGCCGATACTCTTATGCTACTGGATTGTTCTATTTGTTCTCACAATGAAGCGTCAAATTATACACATGATTAAATACAAATATATCCCATTCGATATTGGCAAGCAGGTGAGTGATTATTTGTTCAATGTTATTTTTATCATCTGTACCTTTCATAACTATTTTTGCATGTTGACCGTGTCTTGGGCTTGTGGTTGGTTCATTTTATATTTATCTTGTTCATTTGTGTAACGGTGATATCTTCTTCTAATAATTACGACAGAGTTATGCTGGCAAGAAGCGTGCGGGAGGTAGCAGTTCACCTAGAGATTGATGCTCTCCATTATCCATATTCTGAGCAGTCCTGAAGAAAAGAAGACACTCTTAACATGCTTCTAGAATCTGCTAAATATATAAGTGTACTGCATATTGTAGCGGGATTATAGGATCTCTACGAAGGGAACTCAGGAAGGTTTAGCAGACTTGCCGTCCATTGGGCAGAATAGATGTAGTTTGAAGACTATATGATATTGCAAAATTTCATACTGTCTCCTTCCAATGCTACTGTTTGTCTAGTGATCTTTGTATTGAATGAATCTTTCTGTGTCCCTCTTCAACCAAAAGAATAGGTGAGTTTCCCTATCAATGAAGTTCCATGATCAATGAATATGTGCAGATATCAGCGGTTAAGGCTCTATGAAGACATTTTGACATTGTTTGGGGAGTGGATCAAAGCCTACAACCGATCTTGTAGAGTGGGCAAGAGTGTTTGCTCAAGACACTGTCAACTGTGTATTTGCTCTGATTGAAATCATGTCATTTAATATGAAAATAAATAAAGAACCACGCATGTCTTTCCCTTTGATAGCTAGAGTCCTCATAATTCTCAGGCTCTGTTTGGGAAGAGGGTTAGAGACTAAAATAATTAAAGACAAAATAAGTTAGAATAGTTAATAAGGTAAAATATTACATTCAAATCACTCATCTTACTTTTTTTCTCATAATAATCAAATTATTATAAAAAAAAAGTTAATTATTTTTTGAAACATAATTTTTTAGCCTATGTTTGGGAAGTTGGGTTAAAGGATTTTTTGGTTAAAATAGTCACAAAAATAAAATAGATTTTTTAGTTTAAGAAGACAAAACATCACATTCAACTTATATTCGTTATATTTTTTTTCTCACAAAAAAATTGAAAGTTTTCTCAAATTAGGATTTTTAATAATAGGTTAAAATAATTAAAAAAATTAAAAAGTTAACTCACTTTCCAAACGAAACTTTGTCAAATTAACATATTCAAAAAATCATTTAAAATAGTAAGTCCCCAAATAGAATCTCAATGTCCACAAGAAGCATGTGAAAAATATATTACATTGCAGATAGTCAAAAATATTACATTGTAAGACGATTTATCTAAATTTTATAATATTCTATGTTTATTTTACATAACTTGCATATATATGGGGTGAATTAAATAAGTCACATATTTTTTTAATTTTTTTTTTGTCAATAGTGATTTTTGCCTTATCTGAATTTTTTAATTTTTTTTTTCAATTCACCTTGTTGAAGTTGAATTTAGAAATTAAATTTTTTTTAAAAAAAAAATTGCTAAAAATGAAAAAAAGAAACCACCAATCCCCAAACACCTCTTACCAATAAAATTTAAGTTGTTTCTTTACTAAGATCTTGTCCCATTTTTTTACATTACAGTTTGCAAATTTTAATTCATTCATTTTAGGGATTTTTATTGATAAATCCATCTTAGAGTTGTTATAACCCATTAAGTCCACAAATGAATATTATAACTTGATTAGTCCCATATACTTTTCTTTTTATTCCATAAAGTCCATTTTTCTAATTTTATATTTTTACATGGACTATTATGCCTTTATATATATATGTATACACTGTGTTAATACATAACACGTTCCTGTGATTTCGTGATTCAGTTTTGACAGTTTTTATCATTCTAATTCAAATGGATACGTTTCTATCTTGCATGCTATCGTTCTATCGTTCTGAGGCTTTGATGTGCTAGGGTTTTATTGTTGCTCTGGTACGGTGATTTTCAAGTGAAGACGATAAATTTCATATTGTTCGGTTCTCACATTTTCTGGAGTATAACTACTTTAAAGCGGTTGTTTTCGAGTTTCTGGACAATTGTAGGATTACATGATTAAGGTTAGTATCATTTTGGTTATGAATACACGTTCACTTTATGTTTTGATTTCTAGGATGGATCAGATGCTCTGTTTTTTTATTACTATGGATCGGATGCTCTGGTTTTTCAATTACATGCATCATACGTGGTTCTGTGGAGGGGAGGTTATTCAGATTATGTGAAGAATGTTATAATATTCCCTTTACTTTGATGTATCTATAATGAGGCTCTATGTGAGTGATATAATTCAGAGTTTATGGATCAATGTGAATGTTTACATCGTGGTCCTGTGGAGGGGAGTCATCAGATCAGTGATGAATGTGGATCTGCTATAATTCAGAGTTTGTGGAACAATGTGAATGTTTACATCATGTTAGTATTAAGTAAAGAATGTGGATGTTTGCATTTTACTTTGATGTTTGCTTAATGAGGCTCTGTGTGAGTGATATAATTCAGAGTATATGTGACAATGTAAATGTTTACATCGTGGTAATATTATGTGAATAATGTGGATGTTCTCACTTTACTTTGATGTTTGCTTAATGAAGCTTTGTGTGAGTGATATAATTCAGAGTATATGTATTAATGTGAATATTCACATCTTGTTAATGTGAATTATGGATGTAACACTTGAACTGTACACGTATTCATCTAATTTTTGCACAAATATGAATTTTCATATCGGTTTGGATTATTGTTGATTGTTGTGTTTTTACAGGAGATGGATACCTTTATGATGTTGGTGTGTACATATGGTTACAGTACCACTGTAATAAATGCTGCCCGCGCATTGTGTTATTCGCGTTTGGTAGACTGTTTGTGTGAAAAATGGGGGGAGTTGTCTGCTGGTTCTATTTCATTGTTCTGTCGGTTACCTGGGATTAATAGATGTGATTTGGACAATGAGGAAGAATTTCAGAACATGTTACTGCTTGCTAAATCAATGGGGGTACAACATGTAGAAGTTGTGGTTGAGTTGAAAAGTGATATTGGTCGGTCAAGTAGCTCGGGATCGCTGCGTGTGGGGGTTGAGGAAGATATTGATGCACTACAGAGATTTTGCCACCATAAGGAGAAGGTGTTGTTGCCGTTCAAAAAAAAGAGGAGAAGGTGTTGTTGCCGTTCAAAAAAAAGAGGAGAAAGTGTTGTTGTCAGCCCCTTGGGCAAATGATATTACGCATGTGGGACAACGGTTTGTTGGAGGTGCACAAGAATTTCGTGAGGTTTTATGTAAGTATGCCATCCAATGTGGGTTTCAGTTTACGTATGTCAAGAACGAGACAACAAGAGTTACTGCTGTGTGTGCGATGTGTGAGAAGAGAGGCTGCTTGTGGGCTATACATTGTAGAGCACAACGAGCAAATGGTTTTTTCTACATCAAGAGGTTTAGTGATGTACATAGTTGTGGTACGGATGTCTGAACATTAAAGAATTCGCGAGTTAGTTCGGATTTGGTGTCGAGTACCATATTGAAATTGTGAGGGACAAGCCGTTGACTTGGCCGTGTGAGGTGGTGACTATTTTTGAAGAGGGATTATGGCTAGATGTGAGTTACCATGTCGTATGGTTGGGTGTGAAGAAAGCAAAGGCTGGTATTCATGGAGATCACTTCATTATCGTTTGACCAGCTGCAGTGGTATTCGATGTTGTGATGCGGTACAATCCGGGGAGTTACGTCAATATTGGACTATGATGCGAGTAGTCAACAGTTTTGTCGTTTCTTTGTGTCATTCGCTGCGTGTATTTCTGGATTCAATTCTTGTCGGCCTTTATTATTTCTGGATGACATTCCTCAAGGAAAGTACAAAGGTTAGCTACTTGCGGCAACGGCGAAAGATGGGAACATGGTTAGTATTTTTTTTAGCTGTCTATCATGTCGATATTCATTCTCTACATCATAGTCTTGACAAATGAGTGATTGAGAAATTATAAGTAATGTGAACATTGACATTAGTATGCACTGATGTGAATGTTCACATATGTTTCTACTAATGACAGTAATGTGAACATTTACATTAGTATACGCTGATATGAATGTTCACATCAATGTATACTATACTGATGTCAGTTGATCCATTAATGAACATTATTGTGAATGTTCACATTATCAATAACTCAACAATCAAACAAATGAATTATAAGTGGTCGTTAATGTGCAATGGTTCCATCGTTGATGTTTACGAACCCGAATAAAAAAATAACATAGTAATAGGGCCAATGTAGATATATAAACATTCACATGACTGTTTTGTTTATACTGTTTTCTATTCACTTGAATATTGTGAATAGTTGTGTATTGGTGTTGTGTTGTAAGGTCTTTTCCTGTTGCATTGCGCATTGTGATTCAGAGACCACAGCCAAATTGGGTCGTGGTTCTTGCTGAACTTGGAAAGGTTGTGATGTCGGTAGAGTGCCAGATACTTTTATTTCGGATCGTAATCTTGGGTCTGTTAGAAGGTTATGCAAAGGTGTTCCCATCGGCTCCATCACAGTTATTCTTAAACACTTGAACAACAATTTAAGAGGACCGAGAATGAAAGGAATTGATAATGGATTCAGGACCACACCTAGTAATGTAGTTTGGGTGACTGTGCTTACAGAGCCAACTTGTAGGGTTCCATGAAAAGCTGCAAATAAAAGAGGAGTGGTAACAACAGAGCTCATAATTTTTTTTAAGGACTTGGCACCCTGAGCACTGGGCAAATTCGTACTTCAGGTAATAAATAGTTTCCCTAAAGTGTTCCATTTGTTGAAGTTTATAATGGTAGCGATGTGAATTTTCAGTTTAGAAGGTAATAATCTTCTAATTGTGTTTCAATGTTCAATGTAAATGATGTGAATGTTCACCATTTGCTAAAGATGACTGGTGTGAATTTGATGTATGTTCACATCTGTTAATTTGTCAAATCAGTCAATGCAATGTATTATAGATTTGAATGGTTGACACCTGTCATATTTTGTTGTTGTTAACATTCACATCTGTCTATCATTTTAAGTTGACAACAAATAAGACATATAATTGTTCACTGGGAATGGGAGTAGGGTTCCACATCTGTCAACGTGAATGTTCAGACAAAAACACCCCTAGTTAAATTTCGTATGTAACATATTTGTGATATTGTGCAGGGCATGCGTTATGGGGAGATGACAATCCAATGCGGCATTGAGTCATTTAATAACTGGATTAAAGAAGCACGTAATTTCCTATCACTCAAATGGTGGACCACAATTCGTACTCAGTGATGCGGCAAATGTTCTGCACGGCGCTGACCAAGCAACAAATGGAAATGAGCTTATGTGTCCTACATTTCGAAACAGGCTTATGGATCAGTTCAATGACAGCAGGTCTTGCTAAGTTAGCAAAGCCAATGACTATGTGTTTGAAGTTCATTCGTACCATCTGTTACTGTTGATGTTACGGAGCGTACATGTTCTTCTTCAAATAGGCAAATCAACGGATTCTAGTGACCATGCTGTTATGCCATTCGAAGACAGACCGCTACAACTCAATGATTGTGTGAACATTCTACTTCATTGTAAGAGACATATCGTGCAGCCTATTCCGGATGCCATAATTCCCTATACCATCGGTGAGAGCCGCCTTTTGATCCTACGGACTTCACTATATACCGCCAAACTGTGAAAAGACCACCCGCAAGGTCGAAAAAGATAGGACCCATCAAGGGCGCGAGAAACTGAAGC